ACTACAGTCTGTTTTATCACCATTCTTGCGAACTGGTACAATAATAGACTCCTTCCACTGATCAAGCAATTATTCCTTAGCCAAATAGAAGTAATTAGATTGTGGACCTTAGAATGTAATATTTCACCTCCTGCTTCAATAAGTTCTGCCAGAATTTGATCACTACCTGGGGATTTATACCTTTTCAATTTTGCAATAGCACTTTCACCCTCAAAATGGCTAGGATCAGGTACTAACGGCTCAGCTGTGTTGATTTCTGTCTGCCTAACTTCACTGACCCTATGTACATTCAATAACTGAGAGATGTAGTTCCTCCACCTATTCAAAATGTTGTGGGAATCTACAAGCAGATCACCATTCTCATCCTTCACTAAGTAACTGCTAGGCAGGTAACCCCTCTTAAAGTTATTTATTCCTCTATACAGGTCTCTGATGTTCTTGTTCTTACTATTCATTGCAAGCTCATCAGTTTTATCTTTCAGATATTCCCTCTTTTTGTTCCTGAAATGCCTTCTGGTTTCACGTCTTATATTGTTCAGATTATCCCCATTTAACTCGCTTGGATCCTGTAACTATTGCAATTTGGCCTGCTTTCTTTGATCTGATAATTTTGAGCATCCTTCATCGAACCGTGGCTTATGCTTCTTCAGTTCATAATAACCTAGACTCTCTTTGGCAGACATTTTTATATTCTCTCTAATAGTTTCCCAAGCTTTATTAACATCCACTTCAGTTTCCAAGTTTTCCAAAGCAGACACACAAATACTTAATTTTACCCTACTGTAGCAAATTATGTGATAGTCCTGACAGACGTTGATCACAGAGGCAAGACAATATTTACAGCCATACTACAATGACATATGTATGTAAACTCTGTATTATGCAGAACTTGAATTGCCTAGGATGTTACTCACCAGAGAAGGTGTTGTAATTTGGCTTGAGATATACCTTATCAAGTTTTAAATGGGTTTAGAAGAGAGTAGAAACTTCCCACCTAAATCCTTTTATGTAATAGCACCTGACTTAGTAAATTACTGAAATATTAATTTTGAAAGAACTGAATGATTTAAGAGAAGGTCACTTTTGTGTAGAATGTATTCACAGTGGTTCAGATGGACAAAAAATATGATTATTCTTCCAGCATTATTGCATGTACAGATAATAACAAGCTAGGAAATGTATACATATCACATTCACCCTCTTTTATTTAATAATTTATAATACTGTAAATTTTAAAGAGGAAAATATATTTGGCATGAAATAAATTTCATTTTTTCCATGCAACTTTTGTTTAGAAGATTTTTTGCTTTGATAAATATTTAGCAAGTTATGTCCAAATTACTCTTGATGTACAGGGGATGGACAAAATAATGGAAGTACTAAGAAACTGAGAAATTTACTTGTTTGTGTTGACTTCACTGAAAGAACTTCAGTTGGCAATACTGAATGTTCATCCATTTGTGTTCATTATATAGTGCTCATGTCAGTGCATTATTGATTGTGCTGGGGGACATACTTGTGAAAGAATCTGAAAATGGGAGAGTAATCTGATTTTGAAAGAGGACACATAAGCGGTGCTCGTTTAGCTGGGCATCTGTTATAAGAACTGCCACATTATTAGGTGTATCGAGAGTGACAGTTTTTAAGGTTATGTTGACAGACACAAATCATGGGAAGACAACATTAGCAAAGAAGAGCAGTGAGTGAAAATCAACTTTGAGATCATTGTACATTGTGAAGGATTTCATTTAAAAATCTCAGAACTACTGTTGCACCGGTGACAGAACCATCTTGAAGACCCTGTTTCCACAAAAACTGTCTGATGTGATGTGAGCTTCACAAACCCAACATCCATGGTAGAGCTGCAATTGCTAAACCTCTGATTACAGAGAGTAATGTACAGATGCATAAACAATGGTTTCATGACCATAAAACCTTGATAACAGACAAATAGAAATGCACGTGTGTTTTAGTCAGATGAGTCATCCTTCGTGCTGTTCCCTACATCAGGAAGGGTTTGTATTTGGAGAATACCGAAGAAAGCCTACAATCCAGAATGCCTTGTTCCAGCAGTGACACATGGGAGGTTCTGGGATGGTTTGGGCAGCACTATTGTGGTACAGTGTTCTGTTGGCCCCATTGTTGCCCTTCATACTCTAATTACTGCAAGGGATTATGTGGACAGGTTGGGTAATCAGGTGCATCCCATGATCCAGATGTTATTTCTGAACAACAATGCAGTTTTCCAAGACCACAATTCTCCCATTTACACAGCTGGAACTGTTCAGTCATGGTTTGAAAAGCATGAGTATGAACTTCAATATCTTCCCTGGCCAGCACATTCATCAGACTTGAACATCATTGAACCACTCTGGTCCATTTTGGAGGCTAGAGTGAGGAACAGATTCCCACCCCCAAAATCTCTTAAGGAACTTTAAGTTGTTCTTCAAGAAGAATGGTATAAATTCTGCTAGAGACTGTTGAAAACTTGTGTGAGTCCATTCCAAAAAGGTCTGTGGCTATATTGTAGGCAATATAATTTTTCCATTATTTTGTCCAACACCTGTACATGTGAAAGCCCATGTAGTTTTTCACATAGAGTAACAATTGCTGTTGTCCAGTTTTGACTGAGTTGAAATGTTTCTACAGATTTCAGTAAAACTCCCAAATATCGAATTTCATTCAAATCCTTTCTGCTATTCATGAGTTGTTACACGTGGACAAATAGACAGCTGACATGATGAGGCTGATAGTCATAGTTTAATAACTTTCTGTTGCAGATGTAGCAAAAATGCTTTCAGTAGGATCTTCTGATACGAACTGTGGGAAATGATGCTTGAAAAAAATTGATAAAATAACATTGATCAATCAGTGTGTCACACTGTGGTTTTTCCTTTTACCTATTCTTTTTGATGTATAAGCCATCTAGAGTGTGTTGACAGTGCTATTAGAAGATTGCAGAAAAAAATTAATATAAATTTAATATAATAATATAATAAATTTAATATAAATGCCTCCCATTTGCTAATGTTCAGATTGCAGTTACCTGTACAGAAGAGAACTTCAAAAAACCATTTATAAATTGCATAATATGAGTCTAATATAAAATATTCCATCAGAAACAAAATGGCTAGTGTATAGCAGTGCTTCATATAGATTTGGCTTTTAGATGTTAACAATGGAAAGAATCAAAAGAGTACTGAAATTTAATTCATCTGCAGGGTAGCAGGATACTGAATGACACATCACATATGTAAAGAAGATTAACAGTGAAGAACTGGAAGTAAAAGATTCCAGGGCAATAGTAAGAACATATAAATAGGAATTGCCAAAAATTCATAAAGCATTTTAGAAAACTGAGTCTAGTAGTTAAAATGTCAGCATGAACTGAAGAGCATAAGATGCCAGCAATATCAGAAAAAAGATGGAAGGAAGGATTTTAATCATTGTAACTGTTATATTGATGATAATAATGACTTTAGATCTTATGCACTTGTGACTCAAATCTTCGGATGTCCAGTCCTAAGTTTGAACCAAACCCTTTTGAGGATAAAGATGAGCTGGAACCTTTGAGTAACTTCTACATCCCTGAGAATTACACACACACACAATGGATGATTGTCATTGTCTATAGTTATGTTCACTGAAAGATGTAAAATTGTCATTGCTTGTACACAGTTTGAAAGAAATTAAATTATCTGTTATATTTCATGAATGGGAAGCAGATTACAATGATTTCTTTTGCATCTGAGATGAGTATTAAGACTGATTTACAATTTCATTCTAGAGGTGGCAGTTTCTGCTTCGCCTTGCTCGACAGCTTCCTCCAGAATCTGAATCTCCAGTCAACAGAGAGTGGCCATCATGTCACAGAAGATTAACAGAGACCAGTATAATCCTTAGAAGGATACACCACAAGTGGAGAGTTAGTATAATTGACTTCTAAGGCAACTAGTATATTTGTAACAAGAACATTAGAAAGCAAATTGGAAAGCATTGTGAACAAGAAAATGTGAATGCTGTAGAACTTCTTTTGTATTGGTTAAGTCTGAGTGCAAAAGCTAAATTTGTGAAGTGTTGCATTATTCCATATTACCACCTCATCTGTACACTTGAACTTAATCTGATGAATATTGACTGTAACTGGACAATCTGACTGAAGTTTCTTATGTTTTTCTGCTACTCCAGGCAGTGCCAAGATGATATTTGAATTTGAATTTATTTACATTCCACAAATCAAAGTATAGGTTGATGCCCTAGGCTATGGAACAAGTCAAATACAAATACATAATATCTGTACAATAATAGTTTTGCTTGAAAAGTTAATACTCTCTTTATTGAGTGTTAAAACACAGTGGTATTTGCTACTCCCTTCTGATTAGGAGATCCTTATTTTGAATTCTTACTCCCCCACTTGTTGTTTATAATTACAATCAAATGTTTACTCAGCAGTATAGGATTTCTACAGTTGTCATGTAGCTTCTTAATCAAACAAAACTTCCTTTCAGGTATTAGATTATTTGAAGATGTTTGTATTGCTTTCTATACAGCAAACTTCCTGCCCATAAGATGATAACCAATAACAGTTGTACAAGTAGTAATATTACAGTAAGAAAGATTATCGTAACTTGGTTATGACACCATGCACATACAAGATTCCATGCCCTTGTGATCAGCACATGTTAGATCAATAACAGCAGCCTGCAAGTTCTAGGAAGAACTTATAATACTCACTTACCTCCAAATGCTTCAGTCTTATGTCATAAGGTTAGAGGAAACTTAAATTAATAATTATCCAATCAGTTGCCCATTCTGTGCATAGTTTCGACTAGTATACATTCCAAGTATGGTAAAATTTTCAGCTATAACCTCTAAATTGTGGATTATCATTAGTTTGTTATTACCAGAGAGAGAGAGAGAGAGAGAGTGAGTGAGTAAGTGAGAGTGAGTGAGAGTGTGAGTGAGAGAGAGTGTGAGTGTGTGAGTGAGAGTGTGTGTGTGTGAGATCTATATCCATAACATGCCATATACCCAACTTAAATGGTATATTACAATGGACAGTCAGTGGTATCTGAACCTTTAAAAAACTGTTTATTTCTTGTCATATCCTCCATCAACATTGATACACTTTACCAGAGGGTCGAAACCCACAGCATAGAAATCTTTTGACTGCTATCTCAGCTACTTCTGCACCTCGGTTTCAACTTCTGTGTCATCAGCAAAATGTTTGCCACTCAGTTATGAATTGCTTTATGTGACAAACACTTGCCACCATAAACAGGAAATGTTTTCCTATTTATGTCTTTTGCATTGAGTCCTATTGCCCTTCAAAAGTGCACAATATAATGCTGTTCTTCATTAGTACACTCCTCAAGCATGATTGCCATTTTACTACTGAAACCAGCCTCTGAACATGCACATGTGCAACTGCTACCCAGACTTGTTATCATTTATTATTTATTTGGAAAAATTATGTATATACAAAAATGGCCTAGGCAGTCATTCTTATAAATGTCTTATTCTATCGTAGTGGTCACTCTGCGATTTTTGAACATCTCTCTTAATTTAACTCGAATATACTATTAATATTTTCTACATATACTTCTTTTTTCTTTCTTTTTAATTTAGGGCTGTTGTTTATGAAGTAACAGATGCCTTACAAATCTTTCTCCCCCAAGCCTTAAAAGCTCTGTAACTGACTTTGGGTATTCTCCTTTGCAGGTCTCAGACAAAATATCTGTTGCCGTTTGATCCTCGTACAGTTTACAATCCCGGAAGTTATATTCCTCTGTTTGCAGCCCATCACCACATTCACACTCAGCTGTGGACACAATGTTAAATCTAATGACGCTTGTAAGATTTGAGGCTTTCACGGCGGTGACTATGAAGAAAGCNCCCCAGAAGACTGCTTTCTTCTAATGACGCTTGCTTTAAGACTGGAGTGGCCTGCTCTTATATGATTTAGTGACACAAAGGCACAACGGTTCATTTTTATTTCGCAGGCTACTTAGACTGTCATGAAGCTGGACTGTGCTGCTACCTAGTGATACACATAGAAAACCTGTAACATCCATTACAGCTGTTTTACTTCCATTTGTGGCCTATTTACTGACTCTCCCTCACAATTATTGCCATCAAAGTGAAAGCTAAATATAGTGTCAGAATTTGGGGATGTGTGTGACTTACAGGCAGGTTTTGAATTAGATGATTTGATTTATTGCACTTATACTCTCAACTTGTAACTACAATTAATTATAGAACTGTCAGTATTTCCATACTTTACAGTTCACTGTTACACACACTACTGTTCTCAGTCTTCAATAGTCTATCCTAGCAGTGGCTTCATAACAGTCTCACTGTAACTGCAGCATGATATGAAGTCTTCTTTGCATAGCCTAATTACTTTCTTGCTATTTCTTCTCAATTGTTGTGCCAACTGTCAACCCTGGAACTCAACTGAATTCTAATTCTAGTCAAAGTCAAAGTCACATTGCGACTGACGTTCAGTCAGTCAGTAAGTTTTGGTGTTGAGCCCCACCTGGGGCTGATGACCAGATATTTATTACTATTTGACAGTTATGGTCTTGTTTTTGTGGGGCGCCCTCTCTGATGAGAGGATGGGTCTGTCTTTTGTATATGCTGCTGGTCCTTGCCAGCACTGTCTTTCTTGGGTCCGAGTCCCTTGGGACTTGTAACCATATTTTACTGTCTCAGATTTGAGACTACTCTTTTCATCACCTCCTATGACTTGCAGGGTCATGGCGGAGGTATTCGACCCCCCCTCAACATGGGTTAACTGTCTGTAATTCTAGTTGCTTGAGATCCTCATTATATATCCTTAGAGTGGCCCCCATAGAAAATAACAACTTCCTCCATTGCTGTGTGTTGAATCACTGCTGCAGAGATATGTTTATCACATCATTGCATAGCAACATGCATGGTGCAGACCACAGAAAACACTGCTCTCCTCTTGTTACATGCATTAGTTTCTACGTGAATGTGTTCAAGTTGTTGCCTAGCAATGACCTATTCTGCCTTTCAAGCATCATATCACAATAGATTTCATGTGGCTGCATTGTTGTTTTAAACTAAAAAATTATCTCAACTAGGATCCATTTCCACTAAAAATTTTATTACTATATATTAGTGCTAGTGTTACTTCCAGCTCGTAATAAATGATACAAACTCCGTCCCAAGTGCAAACAATATATATTATATGTCTTTGATCTTGCTCACTTCTACACTACATGTTTCGGCCTCTAACAGCCATCATCAGGTGTATACTCTTACGTTGCTGCCACACTGAACCCAGTCTAAAATTTAACATTTAAAAACACATTGTTATTTTCTTCGTTATTATCAACATCTACCTCGTTGATATCTGTCTGGTATGTAGATAACTAAAGATTTTATAGTGCTAGTACAGGAAAATCAAAATTGACGTGTGCAAAATAATCTACATACCAGACAGATATCAACGAGGTAGATGTTGATAATAACGAAGAAAATAACAATGTGTTTTTAAATGTTAAATTTTAGACTGGGTTCAGTGTGGCAGCAACGTAAGAGTATACACCTGATGATGGCCGTTAGAGGCCGAAACATGTAGTGTAGAAGAGAGCAAGATCAAAGACATATAATATATATTGTTTGAACTTGGGGCGGAGTTTGTATCATTTATCGTGTAGAGTGCAACAGGATGCTTAAATATAATATTGTATCCAGCTTGTAAGTTTGGATGACTGCCATGTTGGTTTTTTGATAAACAGATGGGGTTGCCTCTTGTTTCACAGTGTTCATGTAAGTTTTGTGAAGATCTGACATGTTACTTCAGAAGTTATTAGGGGAAACAACGACATGGTCTGATGGACACATAGGAATGTCATAATAAGCATATCTTTTCTTATAAAATAGAGAAAGTAGGCTAAAAATTCCAACCTGAAAAGTCAGCCATGGCAGAATACATGCCAGACACAGACATAACATGAAATTCAATGAAGATGTTAAAGTCATGTTCATGGATATTACTCAGACATAACTAAAAATCCATACAGTTTCAACAGATCTGGTTGCTGTGAATTCAGTGTTTTCTGGAAAAGGTATTACAGGGATCTTGTAATGGCATATGATAGTTCTGGCAGCTTTACTTCTCTCGCTATACCACCACCTTACTCAGGAGGCCAAGTACAGCCAGTAAAGTAAACAAGAGATAACTCTTAACAAGTGTACTGCTGCAGGCATTTCCTTCAGAAAAAGTATCATTCATTCATTCATTCATTCATTCATTATACAGTAGTGATGTGATTTGACAATAGCAGTGGTCTGTTTTTTCAATTTCCTGCATAATAGAAATAGATACAGTAGATAGATAATAGATACAAAATCTCTTTATCAGGTAAATTTAATGAAATATGAGTAATACAAAAACATGAAAAAGTTTACAATTCATCTGCAATTTTGAACTATACTTATTCTTCATCATCATTGGAAAAAAAGCCCTTTTTGAGCGTAGTCATTCTTAGAAGATTCTGACAGACATTTCTGGATTGGACCATCCGTTTTCACTTCTTTGGATTTTGCAACAGTAATTATTTTACGGAGCAAGATCTTCATCCTTACATCCAACCCCTAACTTGGAGGATCAGGTTTCTGTATTTATATCCCTGAGTGACAAGGTGGCCTAGTTATGCACCCAGGCACTGGATTCTCTTTCCGTCACCTTCTAAAACACTCAGGGCTATGGTGGAGGTGTTCTAACCCGCCCCCACATGAGATGTATATATGCATTACGAGTAGTCAATAAAATTACAGTGATCATCGTTAGAGGCAGGAAATGTTAAAAGATTATTAAGGATTTTTATTTAGAATTATGAAATAATGAGATTATGATGTAGGAAACTCATAACTTGTCTGCTTTGATATATTGAGTAGAAACATAGACATGAACTAAGGAAGATATAAGCTGTAGAGTATAAGTCCCTGCCGAGTGTTAAGAAATGAATAAATAGGGATCAGATCTGAAAGTAGAAACACTGCAAGGAAATTTTATTAAATTAAAAAATATGGGTTGATAAAAGCATGTGCTATCCATGCATGTAAGTTGGGTTCTTTTGGAAGCAGAAAAATTGAAATTGCAAACAAAAGAACTGGGGAGACCAGGAAGAAGATGGAGAGAACAAGTAGGGTTTTTTTTTTTTCGTTTATATTATATTTACCTTGTTATCATTGTTTTTCCATAGATAAACTATATTGAACATTACTTTGATGTTTGGGCTAGGAGATATTTATCATTATATTAATTTTCTCATAAAGGTAAGTAAAAAGTGTGAAAAATGTAACATTTTATCAGCTACTTGCTACAAGAAAAATTCCAGGTGTTTGTTAATTAGCTAACAATTTGAAGTAGGTCACATGTAACATTGTTCATGAAAGGTCATATATAGAGTTAAAATCAGAAAAAGGCTTCTCAAGACAATCATAACCTTATTATCAGAAAAGACTAAAAATGCCATGATGAAGTGATCCTTCTTCATGGCTTCTTCATTCACCCATATTGATCTTCATTTTCCATTTATAGAGATGACAAAAAGTCTGTGTCTGTCCCATACAATGTAAACTGTTGTTGTGAATAACATCAACCATATTACGTTAACTCATATGTTGGGCAAGAATATTTGAAATTTAAATGCATGTTGATTCATCTGTGGAAGACATGTTAAAAACTTCTAAAAAAAAATATGTGTGTACGTAGAATATATCCAGAATATGGTTATATGAACACAGATACCTGTGCTTCAAGTAGTTGGATAATTTATAGACATCTAATATGCATTTACTGCACTCTGTTACCTTATTTGGAAGAATGACGAAGTTTATTGTTGAAAGAAGAGACTACACACTAATTTGGATTATGACACATTACTGTTGTTTCATATTCCAGTGTCACAAATATCGACTAAAATTTGACCAAACAGCAAGAAATAGAATGAGAGAAAAAGTGACAGCTAGTATTATCTTCAAGGAAAGGAAAGCGTCATATCCACGAAGGTGAGAATGGTAATAAATTGACTGGTATATTTTATACTTACATTAAATAAAAACATGTAGTATTCAAGTTTCTGCATTTTCTTTTAAGTGTGTCACATCCTTTCCTGGGGGATTATGTTCGCCTTAGACAGAATGTCCAGTGGAAGAAGGCCTGTGTAGAAACCAATGACCAATATGTGGTGTTCGCTGATATCATAAACAAGATCACCAGATCAAGTGGGAAGGTTAGTTATTTTCAGCACATTGATCAGCTTACTTCACTTGTTTGTTTATATTTAATAACAAAAATTAATTATTTTATATTTTAATCAACTAAAAATTGTTTTATATTTCCTTAGATATTTGAACCTGTAGTTTTTATAATTTTGTAAGTTTGAGAGGTTGGAATTGGTTGCTATTTTACATATGCGTTATTTAAAAAATATCAGGCTTAACTTTTAATGTTCTTGTAGGTACTTCAAAATTTGGATTTATGATTTTAGTCTGTCAGTGAGTAGTATTCTGCCATTCATTCAAAAGGTTACTTTCTTTTTGTATCTGTATTTGTAAAATATTTAATCATATACCTAGACCATAAGCTCAGCATACAGAACATATTTTTCAAATAAGTATCTGACTCTTTGTTGGTTTTCTAAAATGCTTATACAGTTATTTTAATTCAGTGGTCATTATGAAAATTTAATAAGGGAGGATCATTACCAGATATCTTTGAATTTCAGTGTTCACAAGTAGATAAATTTAGAGTGGTGAGATCAGGTATGTAGCAGATGGATAATGGTAAAGGGGAAGAAAGACACGTTTTAGATTAGCAGAAACATCATTCTAGGCAAGTTTCAGCTTCTCTCAGAGTTAATTGTAAGTACAAGGAACTGAATTTTAGGAAGGAAGTAGAACAAGGGAAGAAACTGAGCTGAACATAAAATAGATGAAAATGGGAGAGTCGATGGAAATAAATTTCATGGAAAATGGGCAGGATGTTTTGAATGGGAAGATCTGAACCTAGGGTATGGAAATTTTTATGAATTACTTTGATATTGTGAAGTGGTGGTTATCAAGGCTTCAATAGTAGAGCATACATTTTTATTTTTATGGGAAGAAAGAGAGAATTCACATTTTTAAGGCATTTTTTATGGTACTTGTGTTTGAAAGTTGAAGGAAGGAAGAGAGTAAGGAAGTGGTGTTTCCTAAAAAAGTGCTTATTACTTATATTAATTAATTGATCAATTAATGATTATAATAATGAGTTAAGCATAGAAACAACTTTACTTTTTACCTACAAAAATGTTGAGAGAAAACAAGTTCTCTAATTACTGTATGAATAAAATAATTTAGCCATTCTAATTGTTATCTTCAGTTTTAATATCGTCTATTCACAAAACCTGATTTGATATTCTAAGTGAAGGAGTCTAATTTTTAATGTCTTCTAGAATATAGTTCTTTGATCATAATGGTCCTCAAGTATTCCAACTTGTGGAATGTAAATTTGAACTGATTTGTTTGAATTTATTTTTGTTTTTTAATCTTCCATTCTTTATAATTTTCTACTCCCCTTTCTGAAAATGTCTGTTTGAATGCAATCTTCTAGCCTACTTATTAATGATGCATAGATTTCCTGTTCCTAATTTTATTTGGTGTTCTCTGTCCAATTTTATATGGTCATACCACTGCAATCTTGATCTTTTAAAATGCTTATAATGTGTGTTCCTGTATGATTGTCTACTAATTACAACGATTTATCAGTAGCACTGTGTTATATATTTAATATACAATGCTACAGTAATGGATTGAACACGGACTGTTGAAATCTTGAAATTAAGACACTTCACCTTGTGTGCAGTTTGTTCCAATCCTCTTTGTGCTATCAACAAGCTCCATGCTGATACTGGACCAGCGTACACTGCAGATTAAATACCGTGTACCAGCAGCAGAGATCTACCGGTTGTCCCTTAGTCCATATTTGGACGATGTAGCTGTCTTCCATGTTCGTGCTGTAAGTAGTAGTATGCTATCTAATTGGTACTAAATATGCTTGACAGAAGAGAATCAATTTTAATAGCTCCTGAATTTTTCATTGTGGCAGCCTTGGATGTGCATTCTCCATACATCAATTTGCACATTCTAATTTGCAATTTAATTTGAAATAGTCATCCTTTCCTTTTCAATAATTAATGCCCAAACTAGTATGTGTAGTATTATTTTACTAAAACAGTACTGACAGTAATGTTGCAGATAGCACGAAATAGTGAATTTGCCTAATTTGAATTACTCCATGATGTGTGAGAAATTTCAGATATAAATGATGGAGTAGCATTTGATACTACATGTATTGAAAGGAAAATGCCTGTTTATTTTAAAATAGAGTTTTTCTTTTTGCTTAGTGGGGGGTGGAGTCCAACTGGGTCCACTCGGCACGGTGGCCACTGATTGGCCTATTGTAGCCTGCCCCGGGTGATTATGATGATGGAGTGGAGAATTTGGTGAAATGAAGATTGGCAGGGAAAACTGAAGTACTTGGAGAAAACCTGCCCCAGCACCACTTTGTCCACTACAAATCCCACTTGACCAGACCCGGGATCGAACCTGGGCCGCCGTGATGGGAAGCCAGCGACTAACCGCTTGAGCTATGGCATGGCCACAATAAGAGTATATGATAATTATACTTTTTTAAAACTATTATTTTGCACTCTATACATCATCCTTGTTTATTAAAACCACGATAAATTGGAAACTGGTTATATGTCTTTCATATCATGTTCACCGGGAAAAGAAAATTGAAGCAGTTTCCAAAATATAATAGTTTCGTAGACTAGGATAATGGAAAGAGTCTAAAATAATAGTTTAACTGTAACAGTCCACATTTGTGACAGTTTGACACCATATTAATTTATNATAATGACCACTCACATTGTAATAGTAGTTTCTTCATGTGTTAATATGTCCTTCTGAAGATGATCACTCCAACCGACACATGTCAAGGATGAAAAATTAAAAAGGAGAAAAAATTTATCAATCACAGTGAATGGAGTTGATAATCTTTTATTCTATTGATAGTGTGGTGGACCAGGATGAGCCAAATCAAATTTATGAGAAAGATGTTCATACATTAGGATTTATGATCTTCAGGACATGCTAAATCCAAACACTGTAACTGGAAACTCTTTGGCTGTATTACATCAAACGTTTTAAACTCTCATTCTCTTAAGGTGGGGTGATCTTTGCTCTCTTGTAAGAACCATAATTTTTTACATGTGGTCATGTCAATACTTTATGTATTGTAGTGCTTCTAGAGATAGTCACTTTTTGTATGTAGCATTACTGTAGATTGTTTAACCTGTGTGTCATATAATAGCAAGGTATTAGTGACCTCTAGCCAAACAGCTGCTGTTCATTGCTTAGAACAGTGACAAATATAGTTAGCTTTCTTCAGCTAATATGTGCAATCACATGCGTTTCTCCCCATGATAAATTGAGATATGTATGAAAATATTACAGAATATCTCAAGAACGTTATAAGGTGCTTGATACTGATTCTTACAGATAGTGTAATCATTGAAAAAACTTCTGTTTTTAAGTGCTATGGACCAATTGACCAGGTTAGATTCCTGGCAAGGACAAGAGATATTTCTCTCTCCACAGCATCCAGACCAGCTGTGGGGTGCAGAAAGCCTCTAACCTATTGGGTACCAAAGATAATGTGGCCTGAACGTGAAGGTGACCATTTGGGTCCATCTGGTGCCAAGGTGGAGCCACACCTCCATTCCTCCATATGTGCTTCAATAAATGGTGCTTAATTGAGCACTCATGCAACTACCAACCACCATCTAGATATGACATGTAGGATTTGAAGTTCTCACAACTGTGGTTATGAAGAGTTCTACCTTCTGGGATATAAGCTGTGTAGTCTGTTGAAAGTCTAGAAGAACATGTCACCTCCATCATTGGAGCTGAAGAATAATCCAAGCAAGAAACCAGCTTGAAGCAAGTGGCAAGCAGAATTTCAGTGAGCTACTTGGCATTATGTCCTAGAAGATAGAACTCTAGAGATGCCATTCCTGCAATTGGGCTGGCCATACAGCTCATATTGGGAAACAAGAAACACATGCATTATTTTGGTAAGGAAACCTCTTGTGAAGAGCCATGTGGAAGATCAGAGAGTAGATGGAAGGTAATATTCAAGTTCAGAATTAAAGATTTGAGAGTATGAGTCACGTTAAACTGGGTTTGGATTAAATTCAGAGATAGATTTCAATGTTAGCCTGTCACTCTCGCTCTTGCATGTGATATAGTTAGTGTTGGTTTGCTGGTTTGTTGACCAGTTAGTTAGGTCAGGTTAGGTAGTCAAGTTTAGGAAGTCAAAAAATATTTTTAACTTGTGAGATCTTTTACTTGTTGCAGTGTGTTCGTATCAGTATTAGAAAAGTGTGTGCATGCTGTGCCAGCATGTTTGTAGCTAAGTGCAACCAGTACAAGCTGTATCTAATTAAAGATATCAACAGTTAGGGTTTGCCATCCAGGAGAATTCATTATTTTGCTCTTCTTACTGTAACACCTTTCTGGTCAAGAGGAAATGTGGAATACTGAGTCCCACTTGAATGGTAAATCTTTAGTCTATTACAGTGTTTTATTAATGTAGTCTATTTGAAAATATATTTGGGTTAATTTTTCATGTATTTAATATTTAGAAAGCACAATTCTTGTTCATGAGTGTTTTGAATTACTTTATTAGTAAAAAGTAAGTAAAGTAAAGCTATCCCTGTACCAGGCTGTGAAGGCCCATAGGCTTGTGAGATGTTGAGGGTCCCACATTGTCTAGACAGTCGGCTCAAAGATGGTGGTAAGGTTGTCAGTCCTACGCACCGGCCGCGCTTTACTCCCAGGAAAGTTATTTAATTAATTCCTGGTACTCATTTCTGTTAGAGGCTGAGTAAATCCCAGGGCTTAGTGCAGCTGGAAGGATTAGGTCAACTGAAAAAAATCCAGTGACATCATTGGGACTTGAACCTGTGACCTTCCAGCTTGTAGCATAGCTCCTCAACCACTATGCTACCACGTGCCCCACTTTATTAGCCTACGTTTGTTATTCTCTCAATTTTGCGTAATGTGACTATAGACAGGTTTTGAACTGATGCCCAACACAGTGTGTGACTACACTTTACAGTTCACACACACACACAAAACAGTGCCCACAGTCACGTCAGCAGTCGTTGCTTGGTAGTGGCTTGCAACAGCAGACGTTCCACTTCCTGTGGGTTCCTGAACTGTCCCTGACCTTAGCTATCAGTTTATCACAGCAACAGCTCACAACAACTGAACTGCAGCAGTCCTCTAATTAACTCACTCACTCACTCACTCACTCACTCACTCACTCACTCACTCACTCNTACCACCAATGAGTTTGTCTTGGTGCCAAGCCCCTAGCTAACTCGCCCTGCTTATAACATCTTAGCATGTACAGCTTTGAAAACACCTTTTCAATTGTTGCTGTATTCTGTTGCTGCCATCTAGATGTGCTTGTTTGCAAAATAATTACTTAGTAATGGCTATTGTGTAGTTGCTTATTTCAGGGCCATTGCCTAGCAATGCCACATTATTTTGAAAAAATAAAAGTAGGTTTATGAGATCACCTTTCTGTGTGTGTGTGTGTGTGTGTGTGTGTGCATGCATGCACGCGCTTCTCCCCCCACCCATGCTATTAACTTTTGGATGCCTGAGCCAATCTTTATGAAACCTGATGTGTGCACTAACCCCATCTCAACAGTGCAAGTCATAAATCCTCTCCCTCAGCAATACCAGCCTTAGAACTCTCAAATTTCTGATGCTAAAACTTAATATTGCTTGAATGCCTGCATCAATCTTCATTAAATTTGGCATGTATATCATACCAATGAAACCATCTCAATGCCATATTCCGTAAGTCCCCTTGGATCGGTAATACCAACATTACTGCCTCTCAAATTCTTGCAGTAATAACAATAATGTTACTTAAATGCCTGAACCGATTGCCAGGGATATTAGTATATATGTCATGCCACATAAGGCAATTTGAACGGCTCACTTAAAATCCATTACAGCCTCTCATATTTCTGAGGCTAAACCTTAATCTTCCTTCAACATCTTTACCATCTTCATGGAACTTGGTATGTATATCATGCCACCTGAGCCCATCCCAACGGTGCACTTCATAATTCCCTTCCATCAGTAATACCAACTTTACAGCCATTCAGATTGCTGGGGCAAAACCTTAATATTGCTTGAACGCCTATACCAATATACATAAAAATTGATATGCATATGTCATGCCACCTGAGGCGATGTCAGTGCCATACATGATAAATCCCTCGCATCAGTAATACCAACATTATAGCCTCTCATGCTGTTGATGTAATACCCTTAATATTACTCAAATGCTTCAGCCGATCATCATGAGAACTGGTATGTATATCATGCCATCTGAGACCATATCAACATCATATTTAATGAACCCTGTCATTAATAGTGTAAACATTACAGCCCCTCAAATTGTTGAGGTAATAACCTTAATATCACCTGAATGTCAGAACCAGTTTTCATTATACTTTGTATGTATATCACGTCATCTGAGGCCATATAAACAGTGTACCTAATAAATCACTCCCATCAGTAAAACCAACACTGAAGCCTCCCAGATTGTTTTGTTTTATTGAGGTCATTATGTATATATACTAAAGTTTTTTTTTTACTTGCCATTTCGGATATTGATGGTACAGTGAAAGGAAAGCAGGCAGTTACTTTTATAACAGAACTTGTTTCTCCACTGTTTCTTCCTCAAGAGGAGGAAAACTTCTAGTTATTGATATCTCAAATTTATTGGTTTTTATTCTTGATAAGATTTATTTTTACTGATCTACAGAAAATTTACTTCTAAGTGTTACATCATGCATTCATTCATCAGTAATCTGTCAGACGACAGGTCCACAGTCTCTTCCAAAACAGTTCCTCCACTTAATGTGA